ACTTTCCCCAAAAAGCTATTAATTCTTACTATCTCAGAGTGCATTTGTCAAGCATAACTTTATTCATACTGACATTTACGCATGCCTATACACTCCATTAGGCAAACTTGCTGACAGCCAGGCCTTAAATTATAATCAGTTTCAATTGTGCGATGACGAACGCGCTGGTTGTTGCTTTACGGCATTTGGATCGGATCCAAATAAAGCAGCCATTGTAAGCTAAAGTAGTGTCATATGCGAGTTGTCACACATATATCAGTCTCACCTGGATGAATAAAACGCCCATGATGTAACTGAATTGACTCTCTCCAACCATCATTATTTTTTCCTTAGCGCATTGCGTTACTACCTGAGATAAAATGTGCTGAAATCGCCAGATGATTTTTGATCCCATTCAACTAACCTGGAAATGTATGGTTAAGAACATGACGTGGAATAATGACAAAAGAAAGACGGCCACAGAGAAATACCCAACCGGAAGCATTGCTTTAAGAATGTATAAAATCGCTTTTCTTTCAAAGTGACTTCATTCTCACCGAATGTAGTACACAAGAACGAAGAAACAGCTCCCCCAAATGCAAAAAAATTGCTCCTTTCCATGGCAGCCAAAGGTGAACGAATTAGCTCATTGTCCATCTTTAAAACTTCGTGTCCATAAAATGGATTTCCATCAAATAACCAAGTCGTTGATCTCTCACCAAAAGGCTCAACATCAGGGGTGGTATGAAGAATACAGATGGAGCTATGCTGGTCAGTGCTCCGCCCACTAAATGCCCCAGCAAAATTCCAGTGGTCAAGCAAAAACCAAATAGACATGTACGTCTCTCTGTGTCGTCCATTGCTACAAAAATAGGATTGTTGAGCATTGAAAACTTAGCTTTCTGTTTCGGCACGCAGCTCTACATATTTATCAAAGGGAAAGCATCTTTGCTAGAACTGTATGATCATTCAACTTTATCAAAGTTTGCTAGTAATCCTCTGGGTTGCAGACAGGCTTCGGCACGAGGTCTCCGATTAGAACTTACGAGAACCCTGCTTGAAAATCCAGAAAATCACGAAACCCCCTTTGTAACCTGTATAGACATGTGCAACCAGGACAAGCATTGTAGTCGGTACTTGGAGCGCATTTTCTTCACTAAGGTTATACGATTTAAGGCCCTAGCAAGGAAGGGAGAAAGTGCTTTGACCTAGTTATTGAGCTGTAAATTAGGTCAAGGGATGCACAAAAAGTGTTTGCTATAAGCAACGGGAAATTATGAGAAACAAAAAAGTGTTT